AAAATTTCATTTTAATAGTATCAACTATAATTGAGTTACATAAGTAAATTTTTTTTTATTTTTTTATTAGCTCAGAATCTGAACCTGCAAAGCTATATAATGTGTATGGAAAAAGTTTGTCCTAAGATCGCTGAAATGAGCATTATTATCTCAAACTCAATAATTAGTTATCAACTAACAGCATAAAAAACGGTAATCAATCTTTTATTTTAAGTGCAAACTTTAAACGACCTGAATAGCCTCATTAATATCTTTGACAGCACACTTCAGCATGATTTCATTTTCCATTTGCTCATCCTCGCTTAAATCGGTACATCCTTCTTTTGCTTTCAATTCTTCGTAAGCAGCATGTAATCGCATTATTTCGTCCTTCTTGAGAATCATCTAAAAACACCAACTATATGTGAGTGGAAATTTTAGAACTCTTAAACAGCATGTCTGCATTGTGACTACATTAAACAGTGATATCTGATACAAATCATTAACCGTTCCATTTAATTTTTAATTACAACGGGAACATTTCAACTTACTTCGTCAAAACTTCACAAATACTGCTAAAAATTCTTTAAATAAAACCATATTTAAAATATATGACATGAAAAATACATAAAGTGAACATGCGTTTACCGTATCCTGAACGACTTTCAACTTATTCAGCACATTTTCATATGATGCAAAATAAGAAATACGTCTGGTTTGCAGTCGATAATCTTGTTCTCTGAAAAAGAGTGATATACATAAACTTTCGGACAGATAATTTTCAAAGTAATAAAGAAGTCCAATAATACCATCTTTCTCGAAGCAGTAAGTAGCAATAAAAAAAAACTTAAAAAGTTAATTTTGCAACGGTTTTACTGCTCAAAAGTGCATAGGAAGAAAGAATTTTACATGATGTACATTATATAAAGCAACATTAACACAGCAACACAAATGCACAATTCACAGAAAGTGATAATGAATACAAAACCAACAAAATTATTCAAGAAAATATCGTAGATCCTAAAGATTATCTGAATTTTACAATCGGTATAATGATATGGAAATGACATACGAATCGACCATGTCAAAAAAGTGAGTTCGATGAAGTAATAGTAATGTTTTGGATAAGATTTCAAATATGTCACAAAATTAAAAGCTTTAAACTCACTTTAACATGACAGTAAAAGTTTCGCCTAAACTTAATTTACGTCCGTTGATTTCTGTAATTCCTTTAACGTGTGCCATATACGTTGAAGCAGAAATAATATTGTTGAATGCGCGCTCAACCAATCGTATTCGTCGAGGTTCAATCTTAAATCTTATTTCCGAAATAAACAAAAGTGTAACAGATATAAAAATGTATAACGCAGCAAAAAATTCTATATACTTTATCCTAAAATAGCAACCATCTGCTTAAAAAAGAAAAAAAAAACTTGAATTTTAATTCATTTGATTTTCCTAATTCTTATAGAAACAGAAAAAATATTCATAAAATGTGTAAAAAGCGACATACTGCTTTGCCAGTTGGATCATATATTGGGCACTGATCAAGGCAAACAGGAATACATCTAATTTCAAACTGTTTGCATAACGTCATCAGCGGATTTCCAACTGAAACAAATCAGAGTTAAAAATGAAAGTTAAACAACTTTTGGACTTTTTATAGCTCGCTTGCATAAACTCCCCCAATATTTATCGTGTCGTGAAAGAAAATTAGTATCTATTAAATAAGTCAAAACAAAAAGGAAAAAATAATTCCGAATAATTCAAGTATAATTAAAAAGCTTGGATGATATTACCCAATTAGCAGTGAATGCAGATTGAAAACTGCAGGTTAAATGTGGATTGAATGCAAATTAAACGCAATGATTTTAGTACTTCAAAGCCTTATTAAAGAACCTAACTAATGGAATATCAGGAAAAAAAAAAACATTTCTTTTAAAAATTTGCCGAATTAGGTAGAATACTTTACATTTTCTCATAGATATGAGGATTTTATTAGGCTTTGCGTTTCACAAAACAACAAAAATTAATCAGCTAAAATTTTCGAAAAATTTTAGCGGAATTGTACTTTTTATTGAGATAATAAAGAACTAATCAAATAGCTGAATCATCCTAAACATTCCATTAATATATCACTATAAATTTTGCTTTCTTTAAAACACATATACACAGCCCTTTGCTATGTAGTTCAATAGCTAGGGTTATCATTTTTTAAACTGAATCATAATTTGCATACATGTTCCGTACATGAAGGATGCGCCTAATTCTCCAACAATATGATCTCGATTTTTGCTGTCCGTACTTGCGGTGCCAGTAAGTGGTTTAATATATGTCGATACGCGACCACCAATTCGAGACTGAAAAAGATTTTTTCTTCGCAATTTTAAGATATCTGTACTTTTAGCTCAACTTTTGAAAGTCCCATTCAACAAATTTCTACGTAACAAAATATTAACCTAAACTTACATTGTCAGTCTAATTCCAATATTAGAAAGATATAATTAAAATATAAAAATTGCAAAAATTTTGAAATTTTTTAATTAAGCGACACTAGTAAAAAAGGATTAGAGTATTGTATTATTATTCAATAAATCACTTACTCTAGCTTCCAAAAGAATTACATCTAAACCGAAAGAATTGAGCTGTCGTGCCGCAATAATGCCAGCTATACCAGCGCCAATCACAATTACCCGTTTTGGAAAAGTTCTCGGTGGAACTGAAACAATCTTTTCACTTTGTAATTAGAAAAATGAAACATCTGAAATAATTGATGCTGTTAATGAGAATAAGAAGTCGGATGCTAAGGAAAATCATTACTCTCATATAAGCATCTCGAAAAGGCGACATTGCTGTTTGGATATAGATAACAGAATTATCGAAATCCTTTAGTACGGATATCAAAATTAAAATATAAGAAAAAGTTTGGTAGCATTTTAAATATATAAATCGATATAAATTTTATAGCAATAAAAAGAGCTGCTCAAATATGATATAATCAAAACGTTAAAACATTTTGACTTAAATATTTTTTGAAATTATCTTAAAAATTTCCAAATTTGTTAGCCTTAGCCACGTACCAGATAAGCGATCAAAGATGCCCACATTTATGTAACCAAAACGTTGAAGGAATTCGTGAATGCGACGAATAAATAATGGGTCACCTGAAAAAATTTATCATTGAGTTTTGAAAAAAAAGCAAATTCTATGAATGCTTTAATTTGCCTTGTTAGAATAAAAAATTATTTGTTAGATCAAACAAATATACTTTTATCCAAAATCTGTAGATGTTAAAATATACAGTAAGGCGGCTCATCGGAAAAAGGAATTTGGAAAGATCTAGAAATTCGATTATTATCAATATATACGTGATAAAAACTTACTATCATACGGTGAAGATAATTCACTCATAAAATCCCGAAGTGTAAGTTCTTTTCGTGGATTATAATGCCACATTTGTAACTGAAATAAATAATTGCAGAACCAATTGTTTGTCTCGAGCAAATATGAGCAAAATATTGAATATTTGTAAAAATTGATTTTAAAATGAATGAAACAACAAATTACCAATTTGTTTCTCAAATACAAGTATAAAGCAGTACTTCCACGACTATTTTTTAGCTCCGGAAATGCATCCATTTCTTGTGTTGTTGGCCGATTAGATAGCAAACAAGATCTACTAGCAGCCATATGTAAAGCTATAAAAATGTATACAAAATAATGAAATAAGTTAAATAAACAAATTAAATTTATGAAAAAGCGAATAAAATATTTTTAAAGCAATATAATTCTTAAAGCACAAAGTGCTTCTAAAGTGTTCAGTCTTATTTTAGAAATTTTATGATTGCAGAATTCTTAACTTATTCAAAATCTTAACTATTTCTAGTTACTTCTCTATCAAACTTCCAATGATCAATAGTGATATGATCATGATTCTGATAGTAATCATGTAATACAATTATTGTATGAGATTTTTTATAATCATAGCTTGCTTAATCGTTACCAATATCATCATCTTCCCATTGCATTATATCGATATTATCATAACTTGTTTCAAAATCTTCCGCTCCATGATGCATCCAGTTTACCGAATGGCTTCGCAAGTTACGTCGCATATCACATGAACTGGATGCTTCATCAGCCATCTTTTTGAACTTACAAACGATTCTAAGTTATCAGATGTATTAATTTAAACCGGCACCTTAATGGAAGATATTCAAGAAAAAGCCTACTTACTTTTTGTCATTATATCTAGGCTTGCTATCAATTCTAATAATCAAATATCGTTGGTAAAAAAATAACTGATT